GTGACGTGAAACTTGTGCAAAATGACCCATTTTTTTGTGTAATGTGTCTAAAATGACCCAAACTCATCCTAAATGACTCAAACACTGTCCAAACGACTCAATATTGTCCAAAGTTAGTTGATAAATTGTCTAGAGTTACAGACAAATTGTCCAAGTTCCTGAAAACCTTCCCAAAAAAGTTAAGAATGGATTAAACCCGCACTTAGTGACTTAAAACTTCTATAAAATGACCACAGTGTGTCCACAATGACTCAAAAATTTGTTACAAATTGTCCAAAATTACAGAAAATTTAGACAAAAACTGACTAAAAACCTTTAAAAATGACTGAAAAATTGTCAAAACATTACTCCTAACTTGGCCCAAACGACTAGAAGCTCGTCTACAATGACGTCCCATCTGTGCAGGTTCCTCATGTCTCTTCCAAAATGACTCAAACTCATCTTAAATAACTCAGATCCTGTCAGAATATTTTAAAATTTTACCAAAAGGACTAAAACCTGTCCTAAATGACTTGAAACTTGTGCAGAATGAGCCAACACGTTTTCAATACGACTCAGAATGTGTCTTAAAGGACTTAACGTCATCCTAAATGACTCAAACACGTTCAAATGACTCACAGTTGTCTAGAGTTACAGACAAATTGTCCAAATTCCTGAAAACGTTCCCAAAATGACAAAAACTTGTTAAAAATGGATCAAACCTGCACTTAGTGACTTAAACTTTTACTAAACGACCTCAAAATGACTCAAAATTACCCAACGTTTGTTACAAATTGTCCAAAATTACCGAGAACGTGGACAAAACTAGACTAGAAACCTTTAAAAATGGTTGAAAACTTGTCAAAAATTACTCCAAACTCGTCCCAAACGACTAGAAGTTCGTCTAAAATGACCTGAAGTTTGTTATGCAAACTAAAGTAAGAAGGACTGAAGCAATCAAAGATTAAAATCTGAGATAATTAAAGGACTTTTGTTGCACTGAGCTGCTGCTGTGGGGTCTGAATGTTAATCTAGGAAATCTAAACTGTTTTTAACTCGACATCAGAGCAAATACTGTGCTGTAGAAGTAATCTGATTACTGCGAGGCGACAGGATGTGCTGTTTAATCTGATTTTCGCTGCCTCAAACCAGGATAAAGACGTGTAAAGCGGCCGCTCTGCCTGGTTAGTGGTTCACAGTGTCGGCCTGCAGTATGCGCTGGCTGCTGGCATGTCGCCCTCCGACACTCCTGCCTGCCTCCCCCGCTGTTTTCAGCATCACAATGAGATCATGTGGTGTTGTTAATCTCCCAACAATGGCCCTACTCTCTCCCTGCGTCCTCGGCCTCGCTGCATTTCCTCGTCGCCTCTCGTCTTCATCTCCTCGCTCGGTTCCCACTCCTCACCAGCTGGCTCGATAAACTTTACTTCCACACTCACCCAGCTCTTTGGAGCCTTGGCTGTCGCTCGCCAGCTCTCCCAGTTTCACCAGAGCGTCGAAGTAGCCCTTTGCAGCCACGGTCACTCCTGGACACGAGAGAAAACTTTACAGAAAACCTGAAACTCTCACACAACCCCGGCTGTGAGCTCACCTGGGCCGGCCTCACCTGTCAGGGCCTTCTCGTAGTGCTTCCCCATCGTCACAAAGTTCTTCAGACTGGGGTTGAACTGGTCCAGAATCCCCTGAACACACAGATCACACGTAAACCAGAGCAGTCAGAGAGGAACGTCCAGTGAAATGTAGAAAACAACGAGCCCAGGCGGCACCTTGTAGACGTTCTCGGTCATCTTGTTGACCTCGTCGGTTCGAGACATCTTCGTTTCCTCACGGTTCCAAGACGTTTGCTGGGTTCTCCTGCTGATGTTCTCGTCTCTAAGCTTTAGAGGAAGCTGATCCCCTGGAACAGGACAGAAGCAGATCCTGAGTTAACATCAGAACGGTTAATGAAACGTTCCCCAGACGTTAGGAAAACACACGAGCACTCACTGATAAATGGTTGGAGAATAGTTCTGATGGTCAGTTAACTGTTTTATGTCACATTTCAAACCTAAATACTCAAAGTTAGCTGGTTGAAGCTTCCAGGAAGTCAAAACTTGATGATTTTCTTTTGCAAAAACGATACGAAACGGAGCAGATCTGGGGTTTGGACAAGCTGTTAGATAGAAATAACAAAACAGTATTTATTATTATTATTGTTTTAAAAGGTGCCATGCTGTAGTTTCTCAGCACAAAGACAAATAATCATAAAAATGTAAAAAACAGAGAAAGTAGAATGACTAATATGATAAGTGAAAAACGGTAAAAATAAAATAAATAACTGTAGATATTTCGCTTTTTACAACATATAAACACAGTAAACCTGTAATTTTATGTAATTTAATTTATATACACATCATGAACTAACAAAGTATTAATTCTGTAAAAGATTTGGTTGTTTTTACCTTCAACAAGTAAATTTCCTGTTACATACTTTTTCTGTTAATGTCTGTAATTTAACAAAACAGGGAAAAGCTGTAAAACTAATTAATATGGTACATTTCTTTCTTTTAAATAAACATCTGTACATTCTGTTTTTTAATACATGAAAACATGTAATTTATTTTTACAGTCTAACACTTAAAAGAACAAATTAAGATTTGTTAAAAAAATGAAAAAATACAAATTTTTAGACTGTTAGCAAATTAGAACTTTTTGAGTTTTCTGTAATTTAACAAAACAGGAAAAACTTGCAAAATAAAAGTTTTAAATATCAATCCTTCATGTGCAGATTTTTCTTTCATTTCTGATTTTTTTATTTTTGTTGTTGCTGATTTTAAATTTAAAAACGGTTCAGTTTTACAACCTGATGTAAAACATCAAACTGCTCTTTGTGAAATCTGCAGTTTTCTGACATGGATTTGAACGTTTACAGTAAATCTGAGTCAGAAACTGTTTGAACCTCTCAGGTTCGTCTTTCCAGACCTTCGTCTGTGAACGTTTGAACTTTTGGGATCAAAACTTTTGTTCCTCCACTGGAGCTTCACAACATGACCTGAGGATCTTCTCTGGTTCTGTCTGAGGGCAGCAATGTTGTTTTCTCTGCCTTTCTGCTGCCAGTTTCTACACTATCGCCTCCAACACTGCCACAAGCCAAATATTTCTATTAGATCCGAGTTTCAGCGCCGCAGATAAGAACAATGGCCGCTGCAGTGAGTCACAGGTGTCGGGATCTGAACAAACAGGCGACGGCAGCGTTTCCTCCGACCGCAGAGCATCCACAAGCTCCCATCCCAGGGTTTCCAGTCTGGCTCTGGTGTCTGAAGCCTGGCTGGGTTTCCCTCTGCAGCCCTCCTTTGTTTTTACAGCAGATTACAGAGAAACGTTGACCCAGATCAGCTAATGGTAGATGACACAAAGAAAACACGTCCAGAGTGGTGCTCATTAAGGCCAAAGTGCTGCAGCCTGGACTCTGTGGGCCGTGGAGCAGGACGCTTCCTCCAAACTCTGGCCTGTGTTCATTCACTCTGCAGGGTTTGGTGTCTTTGCAGTGATAAATGTGTGTTTTTCCAGCGAACTCGGGTTTAATTCAGAGAAATAAAGTGTTGTTTGTGTGAGGATGCAACAGGACAAGTCTGCAGGTGGTTGGAGGAAGAACTGGTACAGAAGGTGCATTCATGTGCTTCGGCCGCTTTAAAGCTCCTCAAACGTGTGCAGAAATAAAGAGTCGGTCCAAAACCAGCAAAGTCACTGAAAGCTGCAACAATCAGTCGATTAAACAATCAGTCAGAAACAGAACAGGCAGCTTCATCTGAGTCACTTTTCAAGAAAAACAGCAAAAAACAGCTGCTTCCTACTTCTACACGGCAAAGATTTGCTTCTTTTTGCTATTTTATTTGATATATAAGCGAATATGTTCTGGTTGAGGTCAAAATAAACCATCTGTGGATGAAACATGGACAGAAAATCATCTGCAGCTGTTTTCTTCTGCAGGTTCTGACGTGTTGAGCTGCTGCTTGTTCCTTATTCCATGTGTTAGTTCATTCATTTGTTCTTTTAAATAACAGAATAAACTATTTGGCATTTTAAAGGACAAACAGACAAATATCAGCTATTCTGTTTTAAATCATCTTTCACCAAGGTTTTAACTTCTAAGCTGCTTTTCTTTCTTTAATATGATAATTAAGCTCATATGTTGGTGATTTGCATGAAATAAAGTATTTGTAGGTGACTGACGTTTTAAAGCTGCAACAACCAGCCAGAAGAAAAACTATCTACGGTTTGGATTCTTCAAGCAAAAAATTCAAAAAATAAATAAATAAAAAGCTGCTTCCAGCTTCTGAGGAGCAAACATCTGCTGCTTTTCTGTGTTTTACAGGAGATGGAAGTGAACACGTTTAGGTTAACAGTTTCTGAAAAGCTCTGGTGTCAGAACCAAAACTTCCAGAAACCACTAACCAAAACCCAGAGTGGGTGTAAAGCACCGGTGCCGGATCAGTACACCAGGGTTCTGCTGCTCTCTGATGTCTCCTCATTTGGTTCATCTAACGCTCTGGTGCTGCAGCTGCATGAAGCTTTTCTCCTCACTTCACCACCAAAGCCTGAAACAGTGAAATCTGATGGATCCCTGCGAGCTCAGCCTCCATAGAAAACAGAATCGCTGCCAGTTCGGCTCCGGAGCAGCAGCAGAACCGCTCCAGTCGCACCGCGGAGCTCTTCGGTGCGTAAAACCTCCATTTGTCCGCAGCGCAGCGGCGACCTGTTGATCCGCAGCTCGGAGCCGCTTCAGTAACTCATAGTTCAGCTCCGGATAGAAAAGAAGTTACTCACCTTCTCTGTTCTCATTGTGGGAACCAGAAAGCTTCCTGCGCCCTGAGAGCCTTAATGAAGCGCCTCTCTGTGGTGGGGGTTGTCCATCCAGCGGGGCTCTAAATCTCTGCTGCCCTCCACCCCTTTTTCACATGGCCTCCCCCAGCCTCCCTCTCCTCCCTCTCCTCCCTTCACTCCCAGGAATCCGGGTCAGATATTCGGTGCCGTTCAGTACCTTTCCTCATTACTGAGCCGATTACCGACCTGCCAGAGCTGCACCAGTCCGCCGCCGCCGCCGCCGCCGCCGGAGCCTCGATCCGCTCCTCGCCGCTCCTCACTCGGACAGAATAACAATGAGCCGCCGAGCTGCTCTGAATAGCAGCAGGAGAATAATGACTTGAACTTTTGAAGCCAAAGACAGCAGCTCCGGCAGCACATCACACATTCCTGGTGTCAGGGAGAGGAGGCCCTGCAGCACGGCCTGGATGCATTCACTGCAACAGAGTAGAGCCTGGATGCATTTACTGCAACACACTGAGCTGCAGCACCTCACAACACCACAGATTAATGTGATAAACCGAGATAAACACTGAAGCCCTCACAGGAAATGAAGGCGCTACAGAACCTCACAATTAAATTAAGTTGATCTAAGTTAGGATGACCGTTAATTCAGAGGTGGTGTGGAGGTTTTGTCCTGCAAGGTACAGAGGACATTCTGAAAGGTGATACAGAAGTATGGCGAGGTCATGTGGAGGTATTTTAGGGGAACACAAAAAGTATGCAAGGTCGTGTAAAAGTACAACAATAAAGTGTTAGGAGGCAATGCAAAGGTACTGCAGAGTGATGTAGAAGTCCTGAGTGGACCAGATCGCAGGAGAACAAAGAAGCATGAAGCAAAAGTACCGCAATAAACTGAACTCAGCATTAAAGACTGATGAGAAAAGAAGCTGCAGGAGCTCAGAGTCACCAGAGAGGTGAACAACAAGAAACGTTGGACCAACTTAGAGGAAGTCTTTCAATCAGGAACACACAGTTTAAGTTTTTAAAACGAGGACAATAAGCCACATTAAAGCCACGAGTTAAAGTTGGATCTATTTGAATCATCTGAGTTCTCTCCAGTGAGCATCACTGCACCTTCAAATTAAAGAACCAACCTGAAGTTTCCAGTTTTTTCAAAGTAAA